CAAATATTTATCTACTTGTCACCGAGCACGCTCATTCTCTGTCCGCATTTAAAATTAAATGAACATTTTATACGGATCAATGAGAAGTGCTTTTACAGCATCAATAAGTTATTTTTCAAGTAAACATGCAATGTAAATTAAACCAATTAATCTCTTTTTCAGGTACGTACCATTAGAGCAAATGGTTCCAAAAAATGGAATAGTTATACAAACCAGGACCGGGTGGACGCCGTAGTCGCCCTCGCCAAGTGGTTTAGCGGAAACTGCCTGCTTATAATTAAGTAGGTATACCTACATATACGGAAACTGCGCCGAAAGCTGGCCGACCACCTACTGCAGATGTGTGTGTGTGGAGGAGCCAGAAGTCTCCAAAGCTCCCATTCACCAGAGTGAAGTTCCTTATAAACGATTGTTTGCTTATTGCTTTAGGTATGTCTTATGAGCGATTACTTGCTGTCCTTACTTTATGCTTTCGGTTGAGTGTTTAACCAAGTATTATGAACGGGGAGGGAGGCTAACGGGTCTTGTGAGATGTGATTGTTTTATAGTTTTGATGGCGTTTTTTAATGACTCATGCCATATTACTGCTGCAGTTTGCGGTCCACTGTTTCATGTATTTGTGTTTGATTTGACGTGTCTGTAGTCGTTTGAAATATACATTCAATCAAAGTCAACCACTACTCTCCTTTTGCAATGCTCGAGCCTCGATGACCGGTTAAAGGAACTATCCCACCTTCTAAAATGTTGTTAAAACCAGTTAAATTGTGCCCGACTTTATAGATTGAATGACCAGGAACACGGTTCTGGCATTTATTTTTCATTAAACATCGTAGGCTTCCCATATTCCAAACACAAATTTTCAAATATGTGACGTCACAGCACAAAATTACCTCCTTCCACAGGCCACATTACTGTCATAAAGCTGATTCTTTTTACTCCGTAGGCACCACAACAAAGTTCAAACCAAGTTTTAAGAGATTTTTCAACGAACAAAACCATTTAAATCAGAATGACTAAACGAGGTGACGTCACACTAACGGTCGCTCCATGTTGAAGATAGGGCCTTGCGCAAGGCCCATTTTCAAATGAAGGGAACGAATTTCTTCAACACCAAGAGGCCGCGGGGGTTGCAACCTAGATAGATAGTGGTTTCTGAACCTCGCCGCAAACTTTGCTATCTCAACTCAAACCCCATGTTAAAGGAAAAGGGCCACCTTCGTGAAATATGAAGATATCGTTGTTTTTCATTTTGACATTATTATTTTTCATTTTCTTTTTAAAACTGGTGCCAGAAGTGCACAATTCGCGAAAAAGTATTTAAAACTATTTAACATATTGGTACTATGTTGATACTCTCTACGGCACCTACTGTATGATGGCATAGTGATGACGTCACACTCAAGCCAATCAGCGTTCAGAAGACAGACTCGTCGGATTGTGTCAGATAAGCTGATTGGTTAAAGCTGAGCTGGTTGGAGCTGATTGGTAAAAACCCAAAGCCTCGCCGCGGGTGGCTGTATTGTCGGATAAGAACGCATTCCTGGGATAAGGACGCATTCCTGGCATATTTTCTTTTAAAATTGCCGATAACTACGAATGGAGGCCGAAATCGGCCGTAAGGAGGTATACAAATAGGTTTTCGGACACGGGCTACAAGATGGCTATCTCAGTTTCAATCCCCATGTTAAAGGTGGCCCTTTTCCTTTAAAGGTGGGATAGTCCCTTTAACAGAGCATATGAGTGACCCTAACAATTTTAAATATGCATTGAAACCGCACGACCTGCTGAAAGTGCATTGGCTGCTCCTTGCTACTTGATCCAGTGTGAAGCAAAAGCAAGATGAAGTCAAGTCGAGACTTGAGAAAACAGGAGCCGTCACTCGAGCCGAACCCGAGCAAAGCCACAGCAGTTTGCAATGTATAAACCCCATTCACTTCTATGTATGTATGTATGTATGTATTGACGATCAAGAGCAATCCACAATCGGCGTGGCGATTACACTCCGAGTCCGAGCTGGTTGAAGATAACACAAGAAATAGGTACCTACACAAGAAAACGCACACACTTACGGATACGAAATACACAACGCGAACGCCGAACACGCACATACTTGGTGTAACCCGCACGAAGCCGCGTTCATAACTATGTACACACAGACTCGTTTGCCTTTCATAGTCCAAGAGTCATGAGGCTAGCTACTATGGCTACTCTGGCTAGGCTTAAGCCCCTTTTTTACAGCACGGGCAAATCTGGCTGGAGGCAACTGCGTTAGCTCGAGGGGGAGAGTATTTAGGAGCGCCGCGGCACGGTAGGCGAATCTACGTTTTCCGGTCTCTAGTCGGGGTCGCGGTAAGTGGAAAAGGTGGTCTTGGCGAGTAGACCTTGCTCGTGTTTGGGAATTTTTGGAAAATAGGGTCGCGATCTCCTCGGGTTCACCTCTCTGGATGGCCTTGTGCGCCGTGATAAGGGTATGGTATTCAGCCATTGTTTTAGGTGCCATCCAGCCGAGTTGGTCCCGGAGATGGGAGACATGATCAAATTTACGGCGACCGAAAATGACTCTAGCGGCAAAGTTAAGAATTTTCTGAATGCGATCGAAGTTCTTTTGGCTACCATTACCAAATACGGAGAGACAGTACTGGATCCGTGACATGACGAGAGCCACCACTAGTGTCTTGGTGACACCGTCGGGGAGGTAGTGGCGGACATGGGAGAGGCCAATTAGGAGACCCGTGCATCGGCGACTGAGCTCGGACACATGCGCGTCCCAGGACAGGGTGCCGTCGAAGATAACGCCCAGGTTGCCCACCTGCTTGCATGGCACTAGTTTGGTGTCGCGAAAAGAAACGGTGAAAGCAGGTATGCTTCTCAAATTTTGCCGACTGCCGAAAACCATGAGCTGAGTTTTAGCAGTGTTTACTTTAAGAGCATTTGCACTGAACCAATGGTCGAGAGACGCCAGTGACGCTTCCAAGCGCGAGATGAGTCCCCTAAGGTCGTTTAAAGGGCCACTCACCAACAATTGAGTATCATCAGCGTACTGGAAGACTGCTGCATCCTCAGAATAAAGTGATAGATCATTGGAAAATACCGTGAAGAGTAAGGGACCGAGTGCCGAGCCTTGAAAGACGCCCATAGAGTTGGGGAGAGGTTGTGATAATACCCGGCGACCGGACTCGTCCTTCAATGACACACTCTGTGTGTGACCCTGGAGATAAGCGGCGAACCAGGATGTCTCTATGCCGTGCATTGCCAATTTAGCGAGTAATAACTCATGGTTGATGACATCAAAACATTTGCTTAAATCAATAAGGCATAGCATAGAGACATCCCCCCTATCGGTGGCGGCCAGGATTTGGTCACTGACGGACAGAAGTGCTGTCTCAGTTGAGTGCCGGGGTCGGAAACCGTGCTGGGTATTGGCCAGAAGATGGTTTTGGGAGAGATAGCGATAGAGCTGTTTGTGAATGACTCGCTCGACCACCTTCATAATGACAGGTACTAAGGAGATAGGTCGGAAATTAGTGGGATCAGATGGGTTTCCAGACTTGAAGATGGGGTGAACTATAGAGTGTTTCCAATGAAAGGGGATATCGGACCTTGAGATGCAAGTGTTAATGATGTGAAGGATAACGTCACCGATAGATGGGAAAGCAGTTTTCAGCATGCGAATGCAGACGCCATCAGACGCACAGGCGGCAGAATTGCGCATATTGAAAACGGTGTGACCGAGTTCACCGAGAGAGATAGGTCTGGGCTTAAATCTACCGGTTACGACACGCGGCAAACGGCCAATTTGCTCAACAACTGGATTTTGGTCACGGATCTCTGTAGCGACGCGGGGACCCACAGAAACGAAAAAAGAATTTAAAACGTCAGCCGATACATCAGGTTGAACACTAGGTCCGTCTTTCTTACCAGCCACAACCGACCTAATACTTTTCCACACCTTGTTGGGACCCCGCCCACTAATCTCTCTGTGAAGTTCGCCGCGTCGGTCTCGTCGCACTGCGGCCCGGACAGTTCGGTTTAAGTCTTTGTAAACCTCCGACTTTCTACCGAACTGCTGTAACGCGGTACGACGTTGATCCATGATTTTAAGTGTGGCGGGGGTAACTGGTGGTGCTGTAGGATTACGGATGGTAATATTCTTTATAGGTGCGTGATCGTCAAAAATCGGCAGAAATACAAAAATCGGCAGAAATATGGCTTAAGTCGGGATAGACAGGGCACACAGAGTGGGCTTGCCGGAGTTCAGCCCGCTCGGGCCCAGAGTAATCACCATTATATAAATGGATTCACTGCTCGGGCTTAAATCGGGCTAACGCCAATCGTCGCTCAACTAGGGCTAAACTACGGCTGTCCGGAGCTCGCAGAGCGGGCATACCTCCGGCAGAGCATGGGCTTTAGTCGGCGTTTTTGTGTCATACGCCGACTTTAGCCCAAGCCCTAGCCGACTTTAGCCCGACTAAAAATCTCGGGCAATCCGCACTTGAGCCTGCTTGGGCCCGGAGCAAAATTGCTGGCTGGGTAGGTGCCTGATGGAGATATAATCTCAATCTAGACTTCTTGGCATCTTAACATTTTAGCACAAATTTATTTTGGAAACAATTTAATATCTAAGGACAATGAGCCGTTCCCTGTTCATGACACATTAAAATTGAATTATCATTTTCAACCCTTGCACTCAGCTATTATCTGCCCAGAAAATTGGCAACAGAGTGCAAAATTAATAAAATGTGGTGTACCATCACCTCCCTTTGGTTAAAAAGCCACTGTTTTGAGCTATGCATCAGATGTGTGTTAGATGCTATTGCATCTAAACTGTGTGTATGATAAAATTACTTATGATTTGAAGTTTGTCTGCAACACTTTTCTCAGTTAATTTTTACATCAATAATGATAACTGTTACAAATCAAGGATTGATTAACAGTGGTGCATATCAAACCCATATTAAAACTCGCTGCAAGACCATCAACAAAGGAAAGCGGAGACTTACCATACTGGTTGTGGTAAATCTGCTGAGGTCCATATCTTGGTGGATGCCTTGATCGGTTCAATGGTGGCTGCTGCTTGCCACCGAGGTAGCTCATCTCAGAAAATTGAAGTGGTTTCTCTGGGCGCCGACATAAAGCTGACTTTCCTTAGCTTTGTTTACAATACAATTTTCTCTTCAACTGTAAACAAGTACAAATTGCAGTTTTATCATGGCGCCCAGCACATACGAAAATCATATCATCACATGAGCAACAGTTTCTCATCCAGTTTCTTCTAAAGATATCAGCGCTGCACGTATATATCAGCAAAGAAACTTAACAGCTATTGCACTAAAAATGCAAGCTCCAAATGCAAAAGACCCACCCCCGTTGCACAGAGGACAACTCAGAGAGATCTGCAACTCTGCAACCAACTCTGCAACAAACACAACGAAGACCCTAACTTTTGCTCAATGATAATACTCACAGCTATCGCTAACAGTATGGAATGCACATTTGACCAGTGATTTGATGACATTGCGACTTTTCAGCTAGCAGCTGCTAGCAGTGGCAAATCCCGAACACAAGCAAATGAACGGCGCGTCAGCGCCAATGCGCATGCGCAGAAAAACAATAAGCTACTAAATCAAAACTATCCAAAATTAATGTTAAATCATCTTTCATTTCGCCTTCAGGGCAAGCAGATATGTAACAACTTTTTTTTAGAAGCTGCAACATCAAAATGAAGTGTATTAGTTATCTTGAGGTACAGAATCATGAGTGAACCTTTCTGAAAATATTCATTTTTATGGCGTCTGCAGTGCAAAACAGGTCAGAGGGATTGAAGCGGAGGGCTCGTGACCCTATCCTAACATTAGGTACCCATTAGCGATGTCAATTGCAGAAAATCTGAAAAGCGAAACCAAGCCAAATACCAACCAAAACCGTTAGGAAATACCGAAACCGAACCAACTTGAAAACATGAGCGAAATACCAACTTTTTACCGATTGTTCAACCTTTTATACCCTAGTAAAGGTTCATAATACCAGCAAAATACCAAATGCATTAGCCTTGAAAAAAAAAACAAATGCCAAGTTGGTATCGGTATGGTATCGGTGTACCAAAAAGTTGGTATCCGATTGGCATCTCTAGTACGGCCATAGGAACAGTCTGAACTCTGAAGAGGGCTTTTAAGAACCTTTTGGATCCCATGTCGTTTTCAAGGATCCCAACGACTACCCATGACCGTCTCTTAAAAGACCTTTACGACACTCTTGAGTGAAAACGCCATAGGGGACCTAGGCCGTGTTCGGTCTTGGTGGACGCGTTTGAAACTTTAATGCGAACTCTTCCGCTGACCCGGAGGCCGGAATTGTCTGATCGGACGGCCTGAGACCGTACGGGAATCGGAAACTTGCGTACCAAGCTCAGCTAGCGTAGGCCTTACTGGTTACATATAACGGCTGCTGTCAGTCCGTCTAATTGAAACGTCGGAGCTTCGATATAAAAAAACTGGTTGGTCGGGTCATGAACGAGGAGGCCGGCCAACGCGACGGTCACCGCCTACTTGTGGGCCCAGTGAGGGGGAGGGGGCAATTGTATCAAATGCATCCCCAACAATCCTCCGATGAATCGATACAAATTTACTGTTTCCCTGGAATTAGCTCTCGCCCGGTGAGGGGTTGATGCAGCCCCCCAAGGTTTTTCGCAAATAACGTAAAAACAACGCCGCCAAATTTGGTTACCTAACCCTCTGGGGCAACCTTTTGGCACCTATCCTGAAAATTTCAGGTTCAGTCTTTCAGGTCAGGTCACCAGGTCACAAAAACCGGTACAAGATCAGAGTAAATTTGAGCTAGTTTATTGGGCAATTAAATGATAGAGTTTATCATTGATAGCGTCAGTGCCAGGGGCGCGGGAACTACTTTCAGACTGGGGGGGGGGGGAGCACACCATAATAGAGATCAACCTAGGGTAGGACCCCCTAATATAGTTCTCTCACCGGTTTTAGGCCACTATTCGTCCCTGGGCTTTATGTAACAAAAAAAAAAAGAAGAAAACATTAGCAAAAAGTGCGGTTCCGTCTCAAAGTTATGGGGGCACCGCCCCCGCGGCCCCAGAGAAGAGGGGGGCAACACTGCCCCCCCCCCCCCGATTCCCGCGCCTATCGGTGAGTGCAATGTAAAGTAATCTTAAGTGCAATGGCACATTAGCGCTACCAAATTTCAGACACGACTTGGGGCATTTATGTTTCACACTACCTGGGAGTTTTAACCCGCGACCTGGTGGGGGGGGGGGGTATTTTTTGCCCCACCTCCAGACTTTTCGCTATATCTCCAGAACCGCTGCGCCGATCGTCACCAAACTTTCAGTACCCTCCCGGACATCAATTTTACACATTGTGACCAAAAATTTTTCCAAAGGCTATGATAGGTTGGCCGAAAATGACGTCAGAGTGACGTCATGTTCTGCCGTTTTCGACCCAAAAAAGGGTTTCGCGGGAAGAGCTGTCAGGCCTATAGCTTTGCAAATACAGAAAAATGATAAAGACATAAAAGATGTAGAATCAACAGGGCTACAAAACTTCTATCTCGGATTTTTGAAATTTTTGGATTTTGACCCCCAAAAATCAAAAAGTATTTTTTTTGGATATAATAATCGAAAAATCCAAAAAGTTTTTTGAATTTCGCAAAAACCGGAATATATGTGATAGTCCTTACCGCCTTCCATCCACATACCAAATTCGAGATTGATACCTCTTTTTTTGGCGAAGTTATAGCGAAAAAACTGTTTAAAATTGATGACGTCAAATTTTGAAACTCAATTTTTAGCAATTCTAGACCCCGTAGAGCAAAACAAAGACCACCATTAGACTCCCCGTGACGAGCTGCATCGAATCAATACCCATTTTACGCAAAACTATCAACTTTAAAATTTGACCTTTTTTGGCATGACCTTGACCTGACCTTGACCTGAACTTCACCAGAAAGTGGCCTAAGCCGTACCTGATAGTCTTATAACCAACACCATTGAGTTGGAAATGAAAAATTGGCCATAAAACATGCATCACACAACCTTAGTAAAGTTGGGATCATGTGACCTGACCTGTGACCCTTGGTGACCTGACCTGTGACCTGACCTGGTATTATCAGTGACCTCTAATAGCAACATATCTACTAGGCAACTGACGCCCTATCGCTGATTCTCGACAAAATGCGTTTTCCTCGGTGTTATAGCGCATTCCCTAGAAGACCCGTGAACGGTGAAACATTTCATCTTTGACCTGACCTGTGACGTCATCGGTGACCCCGAGGTCAATGAAATTTGGTTTCCCTCGACAAATTTGACAGGCCTTTCGAACGCCGTTTGAATTTTGCGGATCCGTCCAGTAGTTTCGCAGATACGAAGGGGGGCAAAAAATAGCCCCCCCCCCACCAGGTCGCGTTATAAACAGACCCCACCAGGGCGCGGGTTAAGTTCCAGTGACCTCAGGTCGGGTCACAAGGTCAGAGAAACCGGTACATTGTCAAAATGGCACTTAAAATGAGCAATTTTGTTCATGAAAACTAGAGTTCTTCATCGATTTGAGTCAAACATGCTATTTGAGGACATGCTAAGGCCATCGAGTGCTATATCATATGCAACACAGGTTTTTTGTTAAAATCGGTGGACCTGAGGTCATCTAGAGGTCATGACAAATTTTAAGGAAATTTGCCCGAATGGGTCTAAATTTGTAAGGATGAGAGATTTGTGCTCCTGGCTGGACGGACGGCTGGACAACGACGGAATGCGGCTGCACCAGTGGCATTCAACTGCAAGCCTGAAGCCTTCCATCGGTATATAATCACAGAAGCGGCAAGCTTCAATCCACAGATGCATGGCATCACTGGCGGATCGAAAAAGGCGGTTTCGGACCCAGGAGGCATATCACCAAAAACATTGAACTCATCATTTCACACAACTCCTCGGATTTCGATTCCTTTACGAACTCGTACAGTTTAAAACAAACTTCTCCCAATATAAGTTGCTGTGTTTTCCTTTTACTCTAAAAAAAACGTTTGAATTTTCGTCGATTGCGGGTGCGGGGGGGGGGGGTCGTCGATTGCGGGTGCGGCCTCCCCTGGAACCGCCAGTGCATGCCATGATGTTGATTAGCGGGTTGTAATGATCGGTCTTCCGTTCACAGTTCCGTCGTTCCGGGCTGATTCGATTCGAATGTAGTCGGAGAGTAACTAGGTAGCCAAAATCTAACCGATGTCGAAATTTCTTTGCAATAAGTATGCCCCAGTCAAGATTCTCAGCTCCAGTGCGTTGAGCGTTCCATATATGGGTACTGATCTTCCCTATTCAAATTCAGTATGAATGCTTGCATGGATGGCCAGGTTTTCGCGGGTTAAATGTCGGATCTGTTCACTCTGTCGGCTGTCACCACAGGTTGCAATACTGCCAAGTCTTGGCCCGGGTCGGGTCCGCGAGCCCTATCAATGCCTGATTTAGTCTTAATATCTATTATCTATGCTTATTGAGGTCTTACAAGTTACAAGCATAACCCCAATGGCGTTGTGCTGTAACAGTAAATTACTGCATTTTAAAGAGTAAATTATTGTATTATAAAATCTAACATTCAAGCCCTATTAATATATTTCGGATGGAAAGGGGTGGTCATGCGTCCTTCTATATACCCTGGGACATACTTGTCTAAATCAAGGTCATACTTATGATATAAGTTATAACCCAGTTATAACCTATTTAATTTCAGGATAATTTCCCGGCAGGATTCCCGGTTCCAATTTCCTCGCGCGGCGCCCAGCTGATCGAACATATGATCGCAGCGCATGCGCAGACGTAACAAAGCCGAAAGCATTTCGGGCAGTGGCGGCGCGGCGGTTATTTGCTGTCGTAAGAAATTCCTCATTTAATATTTTAAATGTCAGAGTCACAGTCTTCCCTTCTTCTTCGTAAGCAGCTGGCTGGTACGTATATTTTTAGTCGAGGTTCTTCTACAGAGCTCACTCGTTACAAAATAAATGATGATTCTTTGTGCGTCACGTTCGCCGCCCATGTTGTATTTCAATCTTGTTTGGTGATAATTATGGTTTTAAGTCATTAAATCGTCTTCATTTACAGTAAATCTTCTAAATTTTAACATCTCTCATAAATCTTTGATATACTTCTCCAGGAGCAGTATTGGTATGTTGATTTGGTTATGACTGAAAATATTGCGTATCATACTGGCTACAAGTCTGTCAAAAATTGCTTAAAATCAACTATTGAAAATGAATTACTCCATTAATGGTGCTTCTGTATTCAGAAACTGCACCCTGCTCCAATATTTTCATTAATGTCCTTCCCATTCACAGTTTATTGTGTGTTTTAGTGTTACGTGTGATGTAATTGTAGAAATCTGAAGCCAGCAGTTTTTATCAATATTATTTTGTTTTGTGCATGTCAGAAATACTAAGCAACATACAAGATATTAAATTCAGTTAAAAGATTATCAATTACTTGCAGTAAGGTGCATTGTGAGTACTTGTAAAGCAAAAGTAATTAATCCACAAATATTATTTGGTGTTGATTGTTTGCATGCTTTGGTAATGCATCAGTCACTTTTAAAGTGACTTTTTTAAGGAACTTTTCTTCTAAATATCAGAGCTTAACAAATAATAAAAAAGTATTACCCATACTGAAAAGTGATGTTTTTTTAAGGAATGTTTACAGGCAAGAACAAATTTTTTTTTGAACTTTTTTATTTGTGATAGAATCTATTATAGGTATTCATGATGGTAATCAGGTGAGCTGAAGGTCACCATTGCTAATTTTTGTAATTGATATCACCAAAGCTATCTGAGATTTTATCAACATTTTTGCTCATGCCTGTAGCCTGATAAGAAAATTGTCATCAATCTTGCCTCTGAAACCTTCTTTTTCAGTCTAGCTGCTACTGATAGCTTGAGCATGCAAAACCAATTCATTAGATAGGTTAGGTCACATTGTCAACTTGATTTAACAGCAGTTTTTTTATAGAAGCCCAGTGTGTACCACAAAGAGGAATAAAAATATTGAGTTCTAGGATTTTACCTACTTCAACAGTACTCACTTGGTACTCATGCCTGACTCAATAAGAGCCCTTCAATTGAAGTTCCTTGAGTGAATCATAAGCTCTTGCAATGCTAATCACCAAGCTAAGTGGGTGGTCTTCGCCTGCTGGCTGGTGCATACTGGGGATTCTGATGTTTTGGACTGCATCTAGGGAGCGATAGTGGGCTGTCCCAACACAGTGTGCATCATTGTATGTTGTAGGGCTCTGGTTACAGCTGCATCCAGTTCCCTGGAAATGTGTGATTTTCACTTGCTTATATGACAATCATTTTTACTTTAAATTCTGTATAGTGGCATGAGTCCAGTGTTTGAGAAGTCTTGTTTCAGTATCAAACAAGGATAAAATCTGACTGTAGAATGACTGCTATCAGCCTTATTTTACAGCATAGAATATGGCTATAGTATAGCTGCTACTAACCAGAATAATAAGGGACAAAATTTGGCTGCTTTTAACTGGATTTAACAGAGAACAAAATCGCCTTTAAACAGCTAGCTTTAAGTACTAACCAGATTCAACCATCCCTGGCCAAGAGGGCATTTCTATGGTGATTTTTCACTATGGGTTGAAATCTTGAAACATAATAGGAACAGTATAGAGCTGACCTATAGCATATCAGGCCTTTAGCATTCAAGCTGGTATTTTAAAATCAACTGCCTTTTTAGGTCAGGTCACTGAACTTATCTTTGTTCAATCCAAAATGCTGCAAACTGAAAATTTATTCAGTTCAGTCCTAGATTTTTACAGTTAAATGAAAAATTCAGGAAATGGCTAGCTCCAGAGTCCTTAAAAAGTATCATTATTTATTTTTCAATGAGGGTCACCTGAGGTCAGATTGTTAACATGATTTCAGCTGCCCATTATAAGTCATTGGACCTAGTGGAGGAAATGCAGGAAATGCTTATGTAGCGCCGGAAGTGGCCTTATCTATCTCAACAATTGTTAATCTTGAATCAATGTTCTAGTCAAGAGTTTTACTGATTGCATTATAGACCTTGCGAGTTGCGATCGTGACCTTGCAATAAGTTCGATTGAGGTTCAGTGGAGTTTTTCGTCCATAACCCCGGTCAAATTGAGTCAGAGAGTGGAAAAGGCAACAATGAACTCAGGATGAACTGCCGAATCGAATACTTATCGTTATGATCTTCCTGGACAAAGTTCATTACCAGAGGCTAATTTTCGAACAGAAAAATTGCCAGATATGGGAATTTTTAGTGTGAAATCGCCGAGGAGTGTTGCCAGTGACGCGAAAATTGCTGCTTATGTCAACAAATATTTATCCGGCCTAAATGCTTTTTTTAAATTCAGTGTTTTTCCCGCTGTTTGGCAAAACTAGTGGGTGACTATTAGGAATAAAGGTGACCGCGGCCGGCGACTTTTTTCTATTATAAACTGACCTCTTGCTGGTCTTAATATGACCTTGACCTCTGGTGGGCAATCACGTTGACACGTTTTCCTAAGGCAGCAAGTATATCGTTCGACGGATCTGGATTTGATGAGTGCGATGCTGCCAAAACCGTGGCTCTTCGATCATGTTTGATAAAATCATTTAAAAAACACTGTATCCCTTCTTCTGACCAGATCCAGAGCTGATAACCAGCGGACCTGAGGCCTTAAATTTGGGTATCAATAGTAGCTGCGTTTTTTCTTCAATAAACGCATACGCGTTTTTCGCCGAGACTCCTGCTAAATTAGGGGCGAAGCAGAGAAAGGGGGTCGTACTCCCCCTCGGCAGGGGCTTTGTAGAAAACCGATAGGTCTGGGGAGAGTTAATAGCAAGAATTAAAGGGACCCTCCCACCTCCAAAAAAGTTAATGAATTGGCATGAAAGTGATGTCGCTCGATTCAGAAAGAGCAAAAACGAATATCTACCAAATTTTACCGAAAAATATTCACCGGTTTTCAAGATATTATACTTTTACTTTTGTTTACTTTTTTGGGATCTCCGCTGTTCCTAGCGACTTCATTTTGGAAGTGCGGCGTTCGCGGCATATGTTACGCGCAAATAGCATATATACCACCACTGCTTCACAAAGATGTTAGTATAAGGTTTTAAAATCGTTAGATCACCGCTGACGTCACAAATTCTAAGGGGGCATCTCAATGCATTAGCCCCTTAGAATCCGAAAACTGCAAGTTTGAAATTCCATATCTCCGAATTAAAGCATTTTTCGATGTTGTGAGTGCCCAAACCGGTATTTGCAGGCCATGGCCACCAATTTGGCTATCTCAACTCAAAACTAATGTTAACCCTATTCCTGGCGGGCTCCGCCGGGACAAGAAACTGGCGGGGGGGGGGCCGATTCGGCCCCCCCTGAGATCTCGAGAACGAAGCAAGATAGCGACAAGCGGTAAACGGCATCGGATACGCACGGCCAAGATCTACAATTTTTACTAAGGTCATTTTCAGGTCAGGTCAAAGATGACGTCACAGGGGTCGAAAAAGTCAAAATGGCGGCGCTAGATATGGAGAGAGTTTTTCTCGAATAACTTTCGAATTAGTCAAGATAGGAACAAACTAAGGGCATCATCGTGATCCTCTCGTCAATCCGCATCGAATGATATATATGTTGACCTCGAAAGGTCAAGGTCAAAGGTTGACCTCAGGTCACGTGACCTCGAGGTCATCATGTATATCATTCGATGCGTCTTGACGAGCTGAACACAATGAGACCATCCACGCGTCTGTATCTTGTTCCTGTACGGAGTTATTGGCCAAAAACCTTTGGTGACCTTTGATGACGTCACATGACCTCACAACTGCCCAACAGCAAAACAGACCTCAAGGTAGTGAAGGTTGATCGTATATGAAGTCATGTATGGTATATGGGGCCATTCCGACCCGTTTTAGTGGTAAAAACAGGGAGTTGATTTTTCCCCCATTGACTTATAATGGGGAGGTCGCGAAATTGACCTGACCTTAGGTCACCGATATCAAAATTCCGAGATATACAAATTGCACATACTGGTACCCTAACTAAACCCTGAAGAGAAGAAATTGATCGGTCAAAAACTAGCTCTGGCGTGATTGCAAACTTTTCTGAGGTAGGGTCACCAAACCGCCTCTGGTGACCTGACCTGAGGTCAGATCAACTCAAAATTTTCAGACATGTTGCGTAGAAGCCTTTTAGGAAAAGTCAGAAAATTTGAGCTTCCTAGCTCAACGCGTTTGGGAGAAATAACCAAAAAACCTCAGGGGGGGGGGGCTCCTGAGCCCCCCCCCCCGCCAGGAATAGGGTTAAGGTGGGATGGTCACTTTAAACAAGCCTGTTGTCTGTTTCACTGATGCATGCATTGTTCCTAGAGCACCTCGTTCAACCAGGCTGTGTCTTGCTGGGAGTGTGGTAGGTACAGGGTGGGGCAGAAAGATTTACCTGTTTGTTTTCAGTCCATTACTTAAAAAGTTATGAACGGATTTTGATAAAATTTTGCATGCAGCTTCCCAACTGACTCATGTATCAACTTTAAGATCGTTTTTACATTTTGTAATAGTTGTTGGTGAGCTATGGCGAAGATGACTAAGTGAGCCCAAATTGCGGCGCTGAAGTAGACTGGCCACAGCTCCCGAAGCGTTGCCAAACAGCTCGGTGTTGCCGTAAAAACTGTTTGCAGTATAATTAAATGACTTAAAAAGACAGTGCTAGTGTCGTCGAAGTACATGCCAGGCAGAACAAGGGATTTCCGCTTCAAAAAGCCAGTTAATATCGTGCACAAGAAGGTGTTTCAATTCCTAGGCGAAGCATGCGCAAACTGCCAAGGGAACTCGTTGTTTGGCCCAGAACCACCAAGAGAATCATACACGACGGCTTAGGCTTTATGTCATACAGGATGCAACGTCGACACCTAATTTCGGCGGCATCCAAGGAAAACCGGCTACACAGGATCCCAAAGACATTGGAGGAGATCAGGAGCGCCGGTAACAAGGCATTCTGCTGGTCCAATGACAACATGTTCATGCCTGAGCCCCAGAGACACTCCCAAAGCGTCAACATTTTGGCAGATGGTCCATCCAGCATTGATCCTGCTATTCGCACCATTTTTTGTTGCTTGAAGCCTGCTGGTGTCATGGTTTGGGCTACCGTCGCATCCGACGGCTCAAAAGGAGCCTTGGTCTTCATCAAGGAGGCTGTGAAAGTGAATTCAGAGGTTCAAGTCCATCTGCTGGAGGAACATGCTTTCTCTTGGGTCACTCAGTCGTTCTGAGACGGATACGTCTTCGTCCAGGACGGTGCGCCGCTGCAAACGGCCAACATCGCTCAACCGTGGTGGAAGACCCACATGCCTGGGTTCTGGGACAAAGACATTCGGCCATCATCAAGTCCAGACCTGAACCCGATGGACTTCGCAATCTGGGCCATCTTAGAGAGGAGGGTGTGTGCAGTGCCACACAGCAGAATCGCCGCCCTGAAGCTGGCCCTCGAGACGGCACCGTCGAATCTTGGCGGGGACACAGTGCGGCGCTCGTGCCCCTCCGCAGAGGGACGTTTCGAAGCAGTGGTGAAGGCAAAGGTGACCATATTGAGTCATTATGCCGTCGCTGAGATGTGTACATGTTACTGCATATATGTGCCAGAAATCAATTTGATATCTTTGTTCGGGGCCGAAATATTTAAGAAAATCAAGAGGTAAATCTTTCTGCCCCACCCTGTAACTGGTAACAACCACTAACAATGTATACTTGTTTCAGAACTGAACAAAAACCCCGTGGATGGGTTCTCAGCTGGCCTCATCGACGACAATGACATCTTCAAATGGGAAGTGCTGATCATCGGCCCCCCGGATACACTGTTGTAAGTAGCACCAGCATCAGGGTGTAAAGTATTAGTGGTTGTATGGAGCACAAGCATGATAGTGTCACAAAAGATTGTGGACCTGAAGCTCGTTCTTCTTGTATTGTTCGATTTCGTGAAGACTGTTTGCTCGTATTCAGGCTCGTCATACGCTGTCTTTTTTAAGTTTACTGTTTATTCAATATCAGCACATCATATACATAAAGGGCACTTACGACAGGCTGATCAGGGATCTCTCGGACCATGCTCTCTCCAGCAAGTATTCATCGCCGAAATCTGCCACGGATTCATCGCTTTTCATAAGGTTCACAAAGGTGCCGTCATACGCTGTCAGTGCCACCGAAAACAATTCACGATGTGTATGAAATGGGGGCGCAGGTTACCCCCGCAATCCGGCGGGCTCCCGAAACTTGGCATTTGTATGACATGACATTTTAAATACCTTTGATTGCCCCACTGTCGTCTTCAGGAGCGTGACAATCGTTTATGTTACTTTGGTGTGGTCATCTAACACTATATACATGTGTATTACGTGACCTATGGTAATTATGAAATTTCCCAGCAAAAATTCGGTGGTGGCTGCTGGTGACGTTTTTACTGATGTGTTGCATACCACCTTTTTCAGTGAGGGAGGCTTCTTCAAGGCGCACCTGTACTTCCCCAAGGAGTACCCCCACCGTCCACCTAAGATGAAGTTCATCACCGAAGTCTGGCATCCGAATAGTAAGTGCCTAACTAGCTAGAGTAACTAGGGTGACCGGCTTGTCTTGTTACAAATACGACATGTTGTGAGACATGAGATATGAGTTCCTCATGCCAGAGACCATGACAGTGAACGCTATTTCGCAAAATAAAACTTCTGCAAGGTTTTCGTATAGGATAGGACCCAGTACAAAAGCCTAGTATAGAGCACACCGGCACCTTGCGGTAAAACGTAACGCAAACAATCGACTCATTAGGAATGATATCCCAAAGTGATTTGCTACAAAATTATGTCCGTTTTCTGAGTACCCTCAGCATTTTTAGGTCTTTTTGCTACGCTGAACAAGCAACGATGCCTATGGTAACCGAAATAACGTCGCACCAATATAAATTGAATTGTTAGCATATAAAAGCTGTAACGGAATCTCCGTCGTTTTCCTCAGTCGAGAAGAACGGTGACGTATGCATCTCGATCCTGCACGAGCCCGGCGACGACACGTACGGCTACGAGAAGGCCTCGGAGCGGTGGCTGCCCGTGCACACAGTGGAGACCATCCTCATCTCCGTCATCTCAATGCTGGCCGACCCCAACGACGAGAGCCCGGCCAATGTGGACGCCGCCGTGAGTGTTACAGGGGCCGGGGGGGGGGGGCATCGGGGGAGTATGGGAGGGGTAAGGGAGGGGTAAGGGACGTCGCCGTGTTACAGGGGCCGTGGGGTGCGGGTGGGCCATCAGGGGAGTATGGGAGGGGTAAGGGAGGGATAACGGACGCCGCCGTGTTACAAGGGCCGGGGGGTGCGGGTGGGCCATCAGGGATGGGAGGGGTGAGGGGGGGGGGCAATGGCTGCCGCCCTGGAGTGCGTTAACCCGCGACCTGGTGGGGGGGGGCTATTTTTTGCCCCCCCCCCTCCAGACTTTTCGATATATCTCCAGAACCGCTGTGCCGATCGTCACCAAACTTTCAGTACCCTCCCGGACATCAATTTTACACATTGTGACCAAAAATTTTTCCAAAAGCTATGATAGGTTGGCCGGAAATGACGTCAGAGTGACGTCATGTTCTGCCGTTTTCGACCCAAAAAAGGGTTTCGCGGGAAGAGCTGTCAGGCCTATGGCTTTGCAAATACAGAAAAATGATAAGAACATAAAAGCTGTAGAATTGAAAGGGCTACAAAACTGCTATCTCGGATTTTTGAAATTTTTGGATTTTGACCCCCAAAAATAAAAAATAGATTTTTTGGATATTACAGTCGAAAAATCCAAAAAGTTTTTTGAATTTCGCAAAAACCGGAATATATGTGATAGTCCATCTCGCCTACCATCAACATACCAAATTTTAGATTGATACCTCTTTTTTTGGCGAAGTTATAGCGAAAAAACTGTTCAAAATAGATGACGTCAAATTTTCAAACTCAATTTTTAGCAATTCTAGACCCCGTAGCGCAAAACAAAGACCATTATTAGACTCCCCGTGACGAGCTGCATCGAATCAATACCCATTTTATGCAAAACTATCAACTTTAAATTTTGACCTTTTTTGGCCTGACCTTGACCTGACCTTGACCTGACCTTCACCAGAAAGTGACCTAAGCCGTACCTGATAGTCTTATAACCAACACCATTGAGTTGGAAATGAAAAATTGGCCATAAAACATGCATCACACAACCTTAGTAAAGTTAGGTTCATGTGACCTGACCTGTGACCCTTGGTGACCTGACCTGTGACCTGACCTGGTATTGTCAGTGACCTCTAATAGCAACATATCTACTAGGCAACTGACGCCCTATCGCTGATTCTCGACAAAGTGCGTTTTCCTCGGTGTTATAGCGCATTCCCTAGTAGACCCGTGAACGGTGAAACATTTATCTTTGACCTGACCTGTGACGTCATCGGTGACCCCGAGGTCAATGAAATTTGGTTTCCCTCGACAAATTTGACAGGCCTTTCGAACGCCGTTTGAATTTTGCGGATCCGTCCAGTAGTTTCGGAGATAGGAGGGGGGGGGGGGGCACAAAAATAGCCCCCCCCCACCAGGTCGCGTTATAAACAGACCCCACCAGGGCGCGGGTTAAGCTCGTCGTCCACAGGTTAGGCACGCACTATTACGCGCTGAATTTTACATTGGAATCTGTGGACTGCACGTCGGCTGCAGTTTCAGCGCTGAATGCGCGGCAAAGCGCAGTCAGCTGATGATTCGGCGGCCGTTCGGCGCCGAATCACGCGCTTACGAATTGAAATAGGTAGTTCAACTTTTCAGCGCGTGCTAGGCTCATAACGATTGCGCGCTGAATGCGCGTTTAACCAACGGACGGCCAGCTTTACCCTCTGATTCGTGTTACGCTTCCATGAGGGCCGGGATGTGGGTGGGCCTCATACTGTTACGGGTCGTCCACGGGCGGTCAGACGACCGCAGCGCCGCCTGCAGGTCAGATTCCAAACTAACAGCGAGCCGAAGCATTGATAGACGATTTTGTTATTGAAAAGCTCACACTTGTGTAAAGGGGAATGTAAAACAAAATGTAAATACAAAAAGGGCAATGTTTTACTCTTAAAGTTCACACACTCTTCATTAGCTGCAACCTTTGGAGGGACGATCATTGTTATAAACGCTTGCAGACGGATAAAGTAGTGGGCTACTGTTGAATATGTAATAAAAACTGAGCCCACTGTCCCATACGGTACCAATGAGATCACATGACACCAGGGAAAGTCTCCAACACTTGCACGCAACAATTTTGTAAAGACATACTCAGCCCGAAAAAGTTATCGGTTTGGTCATTAAAAGATGTTTGTTGACTGATCAGCAAGTGGCAATTGTATATTTTCAGTCATTAACCCGCGCCTTGCTGGGGGGGGGGGGGTGTTTGAACACCCCCGCTTGTGGTTTTTCGCGAATATCTCAAAAACGGCGGCGCGGAGCGCCGCCGTTTTTGGTACACCTTATCATAAATCAATTCTACACATGTTGTGAAAATTTCAGACCAAGGTCATTCAAGGTCAGGTCACCAGGTCATTTGAAGTGACCTCACCTCATAAAAAGTTTCAATGTCTGTCATAGCTACACCGAGTGACCGATCGCTTTGAAACTTTCAGCGATTGCTAAGAGCAATAGCATGTACAAAATGTATATCTCAGAATTTTGATATCGATGACCTAAGGTCAGGTCAATTTTGCGACCTCCCCATTATAAGTCAATGGGAGAAAATTGAAATGCGCCTCTTTTGGACAAAAGACATTATAAACACTCCCAAACACCGAATTACAAGTGGTTTAGACACACTGAACATGAAACTGGTGTCCGTGACCCTTGTTTATGCCCTGAGGTCATCTTAGGTCACGAATGATGTCTAACAGTTTTTCGCAAATAACTTTTGATAGAGGCATGCTAGAGCGATGAAAACGCTCTAGATGTGTTCAGCTCGACGATACGGATCGACTGATATGCAACATGACCCTTTCCGGTCAGGTCATGACCTTGACCTGAGGTCAAATTTTCAAGTTGACCTTTCAAGGTCAAGTTATAGTTCATTCGATGCGTCTTGACAAGAGGAACACAATGCCGGTAAAAGTAAGCTCGTACAAGGCTTAGGTCAAAAGTTATTGCAGAAAAACTGTTTCCGAAAAAATCGGCTATTTTTGCAGTTTTTGCCCCCTGTAGGCAAAACCGTTGACGTTAGGTCAAATCTGAGAGAATTACTCAGAAAGGGCTTTAATAGGGCTATCGAATGCGCTTTTCCGCGGCGCTGTAGCTCTATTGGTTCTCGAGTTATGCGTTGGCTTCTTGGAAATTTTCGACATTCGACCTGGAAATCGGCGAAATTTTGCCTTCAATGACCTCTGGTGACCTGACCTTTGACCTGACCAAAAAATTGACCAAAGTGATTCCGTCATTATTTTTGACGCTCTTTCGAACGCCGCCTTCCGCGTATCGCTACGTGGCCCAGGAGCCGAGTTACAAGGGGGGTGTTCAAACACCCCCCCCCCCCCCAGCAGGGCGTGGAAATCCAGGACCCCCAGCCGGGCGCGGGTTAAACAGTCTAGTTTTCTACTGCAAAGGTATCTTTCAGGCACATTCTTGATTCTATGTATCAATCGACGTACACAAACATCAAAATTTATATTTAACCGGTGACATACTAGGACATTGTCAAATTCAATGTCTTAATTCAATTATACAAAAATATCACATTTACAAAACTGCAGTTCATTTCCGGCCGGGCACATCTGGTCGACACGCAGTTTTGGACAGTCACCAATACCTCACACAATTCTGACCAAAGGCCATACACTGTGTCTTAGTTCCTCATCTTTATACTGAACTCAGCTGCGATTAATTGTGGAGCTGTCCAGCTGATATTTCTGTTCTTTGGTGAGCGCATTCATCGCCGTCCATCGCAGTGTTGAACATACCTCCATGGGAGGCAGCAGCTATCCGGTCCACCTCCTACCACCAATATTCAACGTTCAGTCCATTACCACCGTGCGGCTAACACTAACGGACGCCAGGAGCCGGCCGCTGAACGGAGCTGTTCCGGGCGGCCGTCTGGGTCAGCGCGTCACCGACAGCCAGCCGGCGCTGCAGGGTAGTGACCTTCCTGGACAGGTCGCCCACACTGACCAGCACCGTGTTCAGTTTCTGACAGAGCGCGACGGTGGCGTCCCGCTGCGCCAGAGCCTCCTTCCGCCAGCGCTCTCGGCGGCGCTCGGCCCGACCCGGCCGGCGGGGCGGACCCGTCCCCGTCCCCGCCACGGCCGCAGCGTCAGGGCTGGCACCGAGGCGGTCCCCTGTTTTCCGGACGCGTGGTGTGTCGGTTGGTGGGCGAGGCTGTGTGCTGGATATCCGACTGTCTTGTGCTGGGTGTTTGCTGGCGGTTGCCCTGTCCGACTCAGGTGGGTTCGGCACCGGCTTTGCCTGTCCCTTACCAGCTTTCGTTTTTCCGTCCACTGCGTGCGCCGGCTCCGGTGTTGAACTAGCCTGTCCTCTGCCTTCTCTGGCTGCTCCACCGTCCACTGCGTGCGCCGAGTCCGGTGCTGGCCTCTCCTGTCCTCTGCCTTCTCCGGCTGTTCCACCGTCCACTGGGTGTGGCAGCTGCGGGTCTGGCGGCAGCCGATCTGTCTTAGAGCTCGCCGTTTGGAGGACACCGCCCGGAGACGGCGCGGGCGGCGCTGCGACAGCGGAGGACGGCTCAGCCCAGGGGGCCCGCTCTGGCGGACTGACGCCGGAGGGCGTCTCGGCCCAGGCTGCGCGCGTCAGCACCAGCAGCTCCTCGTCGGTGACGGAGCTGGGCCGGCTGAGCTCGGCCAGCAGGGCGTCCAGCAGCCGCTCCAGGTGCTGGTCGGCCGGCTGCTGCTGGCGGCGCCGCAGCAGCGTCAGCAGACCGCGCTGCATCCAGCCGCGCGTCTGCAGACCGCTGGCCACCAGCGCGCCGCCGCCGGACGGCCGCAGGTACACGGTGCGCCGCTCCGGCCGGCTGTTGGGACGGAACACGGCCGGACTGAGGTCGTCCTCTGGCTGCGGGTCCAGCGTCACGGCGCCGCGCGCTGCGGTGAACCCGCACTGGGCGCCGGCGGCCGGCGCGCGCAGCAGCGGCAGCACGGCGGCACGCTGCTGCTGACGGCGCAGCAGCCGGCTGGGCAGCAGGGCGCGCAGCAGCGTCGAGCGCAGCACCGTCTCCACCTGCAGGACCTGGACGGCCGTGTGGCGCAGGCTCTGCAGTTTGGCCTCGCGGAACACGCCGCGCGTGTCGGCCACCGTCATACCGATCAACAGGTTCACCGCCATGATGGACATGAGCGCGATGAAGAGCGCCAGCAGCGGCCCGGCGCTGGCGCCGAACCCCGAGCCCAGGAAGACGTCGTCGTAGTTGTACTCCCCGACCATCATCATGGTCGTGGTGATGTGGGAGACTGGCAGCGTCATGAACGGACCCCAGACATCGTCCTGGCCGGTCGACGGCGCGCCCAGCAGCACGTGAAAGCCCACCGCGAACCCGATCACCAGCGGCGTCAGCAGCAGCACGAACAGCATCAGCCGGCGCGCCGCGCTCACAAACATGTTGATGTAGACGCCGAAGGTGGGGAACCGGCCCAGCATCAGCGTGAGTTCTAGCCAGGCGGTTGGCAGCGTCCACGCCACGGTGTGCTCGAGCCAGTGGAAGCGGTCGCTGGTGCCGCCGTGGGCCGCCAGCAGCGCGCCAATGAGCATCAGCAGAAGCACCTCCACCCAGTTCTCGAAGCTGCGCACGTACTGGTGCGGGTCGTGCACCACCTGGAAAACCTCCCGAACGGCCATGATGGCTGCCAGCGGCGCCACACCGACAGCCAGCGCCGTTTGCGCTCCGTCACTGGCCCGTCCGAGGCGCGCCCAGCAGTAGCCACTGACCATCAGAGTCAGCGCGGCGCACAGCGCCAGGTTGACGTAGTACAGGTGACGCACGCGACACCACTTGGCGTGCAGGAACGGCTCGACGGCGTCGTGTTTGAGCAGGTGGAACTGCTGGCTGGCCACGACGGCGGCCAGCAGACGGTCCTCGGTGGCCGGCGAGCCGCCGCAGAAGGCCGAGAACGTCACGCTCACCTCCAGCGTGCTACTCTCGAGCGGCGCGTCGTTGGTGGTGACGCAGCTGTCGAGCGCGGCCGGCACGGCGTCCGGCGCGCGCTGCAGCAGCGCCAGCAGTGTGGCCGCGTCCACCGCGGCGCCGGCGGCCAGTAGCGGTCGAGCCGTGTCCGGTCCGGCGGCCAGCGCCAGCGGCGGCCGACCGGCGCTGTTGGCGCGCTGCAGGCAGGCCGGACTGAGCCGCAGCGCCAGCAGCGTGGTCAGTCCGCTGCCCGACTGGACGGCCTCGTGCAGTGGGCTGTTGCCGGCCGAGTCGGCGCGGCCGCAGTCGGCGCCGAGCTGCGCCAGCGCGGCCAGCGCCGCCGCGTGGCCGGCGCCGGCGGCTAGGTGACAGGCCGAGCGGCCGGCGCTGTCCGTCTGCTCCAGATCGGCTCCGGCAGCCACCAGCAGGCGCGCCAGCCGGCCCGTGGTGGTGGCGTCCAGCCGGCCTGCGGCGGCCAGCGCGTGCAGCGCCGTGCGCCCGTCGGGGTCGGCGCGGCGCGGGTCGGCGCCGCGGCTCAGCAGCAGCGCCGTCAGCGCCACGTCGCCGGCGGCCACGACAGCGTGCAGCAGCAGGTTGGGTCGGAACTGCGTGACGCCGCGCCACCGACCCTTCAGCGGCACGGCCATCAGCGGCGCGCTGAGGTCGGCGCCGCGCTCCAGCGCGCGCACCGCCCGCCGCCGGTCGCCGCTCATACAGGCGCGGAACAGCTGCTCCTGGGGGCTGAGCGCGCCGCCGACGGCGCTGTCCAGCTCGTCCCGACAGCGGCGGCCGGCGGTGCGCCGCAGCGCCGGAGCCCGCTGCATGACTCCTCCGACACCAACCGAAACACACTACACACTCTCAGACAGGTCCGCCGCCTCCACTGTCACTCTGCGCGCCTCCTCGGTCGACTGATGGCACGCTATCGGCGCTCCCAGCGCAAACTGACACGTACCGGCCTGACTCAGTCGCCGCCGCGCCGGTCTATCGAGCCGTTATCGTGTCGCGTTGGCTCTCCATTTCTGTCGGTACACTGACGCACGGACCACTTCATACACTCGGAACTACGCTGGTCGGTGTGTGGGTTTGATGCAGCACACAGGACCGTGTAAGGCTGTGTCGGGGGCTGTGCCATATTATGCCAACTACCAGGCCGTAGCACCACATTGACAGACATAGCTGTCTAACATTTATGCGTTGTTCGCATTTTTCGTCCTTATTCGCATGTCTTAACGGCTAACGCCGACCTTTGCTTTTTCGAATGTTGTGTAGGATAAGTAGAGAGACCTTTTGCTTTATGAACTGTGAAGTCGCTGTCTTTGGACCTGTTCAATGTTCGGTTTCTGCTCTTGTCTGTCGTGCTTCTTCTGGCCGTTCCTGCTCAGTCTCTGCGCTCTTCTTGTCTGCTTCTTTTCGGTCTCTTGTCTCCATGCCTCCCGCCAGTGCCGCTTGTCCACCGTGGCCTTCCGTCAGGTTACCGAACCAATGAACCGGTTACTATCGCGACGCCACTCTAAACTGTCACCACTGTTCCCGGCACACCCGTCACACCGCCGCTATCGGCCGGATACAGTCAGCCCCCAGCTCCACCTTCTTCTGCGGAGTCTCTGATGTCATTTCAGTTACCTGCTTATCGGCACTGGACACTGAATGGAACGCCACCTCTCTCACACCCGTCAGAATAGACACTGAAGTATCCGAAACCACAATCCACCGTTACGCCACGATGCCATGTCACGCGGCGGTGTTTGCGTCTGACAGTGGGGGCGAGACTACCGACCGTCTTGGCATGCCTCCTCCACGCGCCGCGCCCCTCCCGACTGGACAAACACCCCACCGGGCCACGCGGACGATTGACACACAAGGTCGAGCAGAGTCCACCTCACACGCAGCGCCGGGCCGGAGTGTGGAGGAGTGCGCTGTGCGAGCCGGCCGTACCGTTAGGCGCCTCCGGGTCACGGGAAGCGGTAAATGGGGAACCACCCACCATCTGTTCTGTGGTACCGCTCGGCGTTCACTTACTTACCAGGCGCTGACGGACGGACACCGCCATTTCTGTTGGTGTTGTGGGGTTGCACCGACGGCAGTATGCTGTGCGCAACGAGAACGTAGAAATAGAATGGGGGGATGTTTCGCTAAAACTCCACTTAACTCCCTTCCAATGCAACGTCGCATGAATTTCTTTAACCGAATTCTCAGTATCATGCACGTAGCGCTGTTTGGCAGTCATGCTTTTGAAACAGGGTTTAATTCAGGTCACCAGCGTGACTTCATAGCTGGAGTGGCCAGTTTTTAACGGATCAGGGCGGGCAACTGTAACTCGCAGCTGTTCGCTGCTGACCTGCTGACCCATGACGATTAACTTTTATGATTAATTAGATAAGACAAACAATTAGAGACGAGGCGCAAACTAAGTACTTTCGGGAGAATTTGTGCCAGTTATCGGCGGATGCTTTTGCGTACAAAGTTTAATTTGTATTTTTAGATACTAGACAGGTATAAGACGAAAGAACTTTCTTGTTCGTGCTAACGTGTTAGCCTCAGCGTCACAGTCGCAGTCGACTATGCTATCGGAAGAAAATCGGTTAGGTTTCCCACTGCGTGTCGTCGTCTCAGAACGGATGTTTTGACGGTCCCGTCCCCTCTGCGTTTGCTCTGACTAGTGACTCAGTAGTTATTGGATAAGGTGGTCCAATCCGATAATTCTGACCAGGCCGACTATCAGTCGAGCATAGACGCTGTGGACCAAGGGATCCGTATGGTTCGCCTAACTACAAGACGGACTATGGGCAGTTGTCAAACTTGTGAGATAGTATTGATTGACCTGTGGTTTGTGGGCTGATACTAACCGACATTTCTTTGTTCCGTTGCAGAAAGAGTGGCGTGAGGACTTTCCCAATTTTAAGAAGAAGGTGGCGCGCTGCGTGCGGCGGAGTCAAGAGGAGTGCTGAGTGGTGTTGCCGGCCCGAGGACCTGCTGCACTGGTGCGTGTCCTTCCAGCCGGCCAGCCGGCGGTGGCGGCAGGCGGGCCCCGTGCGCCGGTGCCGGCCCCGTCCACCCCCTGTATATCGTACCGTCAACCATGTGTCAACGCACGGAAACATGACGACCTGTGAATTAGCAACGGTGCTGAAATTTTTAGTCTCCTTTGATCGTGAACGCGCTGGTACCCCAATGTGATTCCAGGTTGGTAAACCTCCCGTTAGATTTATCGCGTGGTTTCTTTTTCACGGCTCCGCTGAGTGTTAAATCGGCTGTGGAACATGCGTGCTGCGTTGGCCGGAAATGAAGCAGCTCGGAGGATGGTCCCGTGTTTGATGTCGTTGAACGTGTTGCAGGCGGCCCCGTGGAACTGCGCTGTGATAGGACGATCGCTGGGGCCGGGCGGGCCGGCCGCCGCTCGCCCCTGGTCGCTGGCTAGTAGTCGGGGCCCGGCGCGCGACGGCGGCAGGAGGACCGTGCCGACGACCGACGGACGACGGACGACGGACCGACGTACGGACGGACGGAGGGCGGAGGACGGCGCGAACGGAGACGGACGGCGGACGGAGGGGACGGCACGGCGCTCGACCGGAGCCACGGCGGAGGGACAGGGACGGGACAGCCGGGAGCGGTGAGTGGGACAGCTGGGACGGAGTGCGGGGACGGACCGACGGACTGGGCAGTGCTGGGGGGTCCAGGAGGCGGCCGACGGGCGGTCTCGACCGCCGGCGCCGGCCAGCCGACTCGTCTTCTCGCGGCTCGCCGGCCGCCTGGTGACGGCAGCCGTCACTCGAAACTGTGGACTCAGCCGCCAGATGGCAGTGAGCGTGCGGTGTGGTGAGTGCCGAGCGCGTGGCGTCGTCTTCTTACCTCAGTGTGGGTGTGAGTGTTCGTGTCTTGTTGCGTGCTTATTTCGCCGACTGGGGAGGGCTGGTGGCCGGCAGGCTCGGATTGCTGAACAGAATCATCAGGCGCGATCTGTGGCATAAAATAATCTCTGCATTTGAGCTCGTTATTGGTCGTTTTGGTTTGGAAATAAATAGAAAGGTTTACGAGGAAGGTAATTGCTCTCGCCTACCCTTGCCGCATGTGTACATGCCTGTATGTAGTGGGGTATTTTATTTTCGGTGTGAATAAAGTAAGAATTTGTTCTTCCTACTGTAAATCGCTATTGACAAAAGCCTTGGTTTCTTCCGTTTCCTCTCTTGATTTGTGTTATGTTGTCCTGATGGCCTGTACCTTTCTCATTCGGTGGCAGAGGCTTCGAGACTGGAGGCAGCTTATCGTTTGCCTTCCAATTTCCTGTTGAGCCAGCCGGCAGTTTGCAAGGAAGGATCACACTAAGCTCGAGAGGACCGTGCCACCATCTTTCTCCTGTCCTAGGACCTTTAATTGGGTAGCATCGGCTTCCTTTCGTCGGGGACAATACGCTCGTTTTTTCGCGAAGCTTTAACCCTCGCGGGCCCGGGGGGCGTTTTTCGCCCCCCCCCTGGCGAATATTTGCGATAGCTCCCGAACGCTTAGGGATAGGAAAGCGAAACTTTCGGTACCTTTTCTCCAATCAATTTGATATCGTCTGAAGTAAAAAATTTGGACCTAGCCCCCTTGATGACGTCACAGGGTCGATTTTTCAAGACCCCTGCACGGCAAACTTCGTGGTCACAGACGCAAACTTCAAATAGCTGCTAAAAATAGAGTTTTAGAGCTAAAGACAAATTAGGAGCACGGTTGTGTAGCGTTTGTCCTAGAGAAAAATAGAAAAATAGTGTTGGTAACCTGAGGTCAGAGGTCAGGTCAACGACCCCGAAATGTGGTTTTAGTTTTTCGCAAATAACTTCGACAAAAATGGTCCTAGAGCTACGACAGTGGTACCATCGCATTCGTCTTGTCAATCCGCGTCGAATGATATATATTTTGTTTGGAAAAGGTCAAGTTTTATCTAGCATCTATTTTCCTCTAAGCCTTCATTTAGAGCTTCTGGATGGCAAAATTGTCTTATTTATTATTACTAACTTGAATCAGTGAAATAGCCTCTAGCAAGGATACTTTTCTGTGACTTTGACCTTTGGGCAGCCTTGTATCGTAAGATTAACCACAAATAGGGAATTGATAAGCCTCAAAACATTTCAAAACATCTTGGAAGTTAGCACGCAAGATGTACGAAAAAATGCAAAGTTTGAGGACAATTTTGAGCGTGACCTTGACCTTGACCTTTGATTTTGAGCACAGGTTCGGAATTCTCAGATTCTCTTCATTCGTTTGACACCCAATTTTGCCGGTTTGATGCATCCTGCCGTCCTCTAGAACGCTAACTTTGAGAACACTACACATGTGCCGGTTTTTGCCTTTGACCTTGACCTCTGACCTTGAAAATTGACCTTAGGTAAAAAATGTTAGGTGCTTTAGAATCGTCTCGTAAGGACCTTTCGTTTGGTATCGCTTTTGTTTCCGTAACTCCCTTATTTACGGAGTTAGACAGGAGGGGGGGGGGGGCGAAAAACGCCCCTCCCCGGGCTGCGGTGGTTGGGATTACCCCCGGGCCCGGCCGGGTTAACTTGATCAGGGGCTGAACGGCCAGGGACGGGTCCAACGGACCCTCCTGTGCGCTAGCGGCTGGCAAAACAACAATACAGACGAAGATTAACACATCCTGGTCGGGTGAGGGATTGATGCCGCCCCTCGACGTCTTTTTTCGCGATTGTTTGGTTGGGACGCATCGGCAATAGCTGAAAGTTGGCATACTTTGACATTTCATTTGAGCCGGATATTATGACAACCGCATTTTCAGGTCAGGTTAGGTCACCACTCTATGACGCCATGAGTAAATCTCTGCGCGGTCCTAAATGTCGGTCGCAACCTCACAACGGGGAATATCATACAGGAAGATAAAATTCAAAGCGCATGGTAACCTACTCAGAGTAATCACAAGTTCAATAGGTATTAGAGGTGGCAAAATGTGGACCCGAGGACCCGGTCCAAAGAACCAGTCTGGACCCATATGGGTCCAGACCGGTTCCTGGAAATTTTATGACGGGTCCAACCGGGTCCTGCCATAAACTATACATCTTGCACACTACACATTATTGCAAATATGAAGTGAATTAAGTGAATGTTTATTTGCACACAGTAGCTCATGAGTATTCCCAATTGGAAATATGTAGACTGTTTTATATGATGCCACTAATGATACCTACAAGTAGTTTGTATTAATTGACTTTTGGGGAACGGGTCCAACTGGTTCCGATTCCAACTAAGACCGGGTCCGACTGGTTCCAGAAAGGTCCAGCCGGGTCTGGTTCGAGTCTGGTTCCCAAAATTTTCATCTTTTGCCACCTCTAATAGGTATCTTGAATTTTTCATAAAGGTCTCCAGGTTCAGGTCGTTCACGTTACTAGCAATAATTCAATGGGCGACTATAAAGGCCTGACTACACTATGCGTTTTTTTTACGCGCGTTTTTTTGCGTGTTTGCGTTTTTTCGCAATATCGTTCTTTATCTGAGGTCACTGATACCAGGTCAGGTCACAGCGAGGTCAGGTCACCGGGGGTCACAATATGAAAGTGTCGTGTGATACATGTTTTATGGTCCATTTTACATGACAAATGCGATTATGTGGGTTAGGCAGCCTTTGGGGCCAGCCTAGGTCACGTTTTGGTGAAGGTCAGGTCAAGGTCAGGTCAAATTAGGTCAAATTTCAAAGTGATATTTTTGCATAAAATGGGTATCGATTCGATGCAGCTCGTCACGGGGAGTCTAATGGTGGTCCTTGTTTTGCTTTTCGAGGTCTAGAATTGCCAAAAATTGAGTTTGAATATTTGCCGTCATCATTTTTGAACAGTTTTTTCGCTATAACTTGGCCAAAAAACGAGGTATCCATCTGAAATTTGGTATGTGGATAGAAGACGGTAGTTACTATCACATATATTCCGTTTTTCGAAACTCTAAAAATGTTTTGGATTTTTTGGCTAATATATCCATAAAAATGCTTTTTTGATTTTTAGGGGTCAAAACTCAAAAATTTCAAAAATCCGAGATACAGGGTGACACAAAAAAAAAACGGTCATCACCAAATTTCGAATAACTTCGGAAGTTTTATTCAGATCATCACCAAACTTCGGCCACTTAAGGTCACACCTATGTAGCATACATCCACCAAGTTTCAAGTCTTCACTACGAATACTTTTAGTACAGTATGTGTTTTACTGACGCTCCACAATGTGCTCCAGGTGAGCGCCACGGCGCTGCAGGGCGTAGGCACACTTGCATCCGGCGGGCAAAGTTGTCGATAACCCGATGGCTGTGCACTTTACAGAGTGCAATGGCCTCTGGAGACAGTGCTCAGGGGGTGTGCTACCCCTGAAACGTTATTCTTATCGGGTTGTCGGCAACTTTGACCGCCGGATGCAGGTGTGCCTACGCCCTGCAGCGCCGGGGCGCTCACCTGGAGCACATTGTGGAGCGTCCGTAAAACACACACTGTACTAAAAGTATTCGTAGTGAAGACTTGAAACTTGGTGGATGTCTGCTACATAGGTGTGACCTAAAGTGGCCGAAGTTTGGTGATGATCTGAATAAAACTTCCGAAGTTATCCAAATTTTGGTGATGACCGCTTTTTTTGTGTGACCCTGTAGCAGTTGTGTAGCCCTGTCAATTCTACACCTTTTATGTCTTGATCAATTTTATGTATCTTCAAAGCTGTAGGCCTGACAGGTCTTCTCGCGAAGGTCTTTTTTCGGTCGAAAATGACAGAACATGACGTCATTCTGACGCCATTTGTGGCCAACCTATCATAGCCTCTGAAAAAAAAATTGGTCACAATGTGTAAAATTGATGCCCGGAGGGGTCCTGAAAATTTCGTGGCGATATCTCCAGCCGTTTAGGAGATATCGACGGAAAAGGACAGGGAGGGGCCGTTTCGGCCCCCCCCCCCTACGGGGCGCGGGTTTTAACACGATGATGCCAAAACCGCGGCTCTGCGATAATCTTTGGTGAAGTGATCCACCAGAAACTGAACCCCCGTACCTTGGGCAGCCACTTTACTTCAGAGGTCACTGAGACCTTTACAGCGGACACTAGTCGCTGCAACTTTAATGGCGCATACGGTCGTGTTTTCGGCGAACCTCCAGTTCAATCGCGGGCGAAACGGCGAGGAGGGAGGGGCACTGAATCACCTCTTCGGCCCTGGCTTGTATAGAGAACCGATAGATCCGGCGAAGGTCATAGCCCCTGAGGTCAATGGTCGCGTCAGGGCATGAAGTTTAACTAGCAGTTATTTGACGATAACTTTGAATACAGACATGCTAGAACGATGAACACAAATTGGATGTGGTCAGCTAAACGATACGGACCGTCCAATGTGGAACATGACTTTTTTCGTTCAGGTTGTAACATGAAAGGAGCCGACTGTTCAATTCATAGCCGTTTACATAGGCGGATCCAGAAAGGTGCAGTCCCAGAGGCTGCGGAGGGCATAACCCTGACAGTTTCTCCGAATTAAAAAAAACAACAACTTTGGATTGAGATTCCTTATGCAGTATGCAGTGCTGTTCAGTTTCAAGCAAACTTTGTACCTAATAAAAGCTTTCTTTCTGGTAATAAAAGCGTTTTCTTTCTTTTTAAGAAATGCTACACATTTCATTAATTTCGGGGTCTGCGAAGGGGCTTAACCCATAATGCCCCCTTAGAATCTATCACTGACCGTTCAATTTTCAAGGTAAAATTATTTATATAATTTGATGCGTAGGTATCGACGAGAGAAACACGATGCGTAGGGGAGAGCGGGGCCAGTTGAACCACTTTTTATATATTGACATGCACAGCGAGATCTAGTTGTCATATCGAAAAATGCACAATGCCATGAAAAAATATGCTCTTTTGGCTTTATTTTAAGATATGTAAAATTATGTTTCAAACATATTTTGCTGCCAAACGCATGCTTATAAAACAGCTCTACGCCCGTTTCAAATGACCCCGATGCGAGGGCCAATTGAACCAGCCCATGAGGTCAATTGCACCTATCCTTAACAATGGGATGTTTTCCTCTTTAAGGCCACTTTCTTAAGGAGATATTTTGTTCGGTTTACTTTTCCAAATGCTACATTCAATAGGTCGTTTGAAAGCTAAAAGTGCAAAGTTCCTCATAATAGGTGA